TCTAAGGGAGAGCCCAGACACACAACGGAGAAAACTCTTTTCAGCTGCTTGTATCCGGGATCTCGTTCTTTTGGCCATGACCCAAAAATGAATATATAAACTTTAAAATATTTTGGACTACATATACCTTGGCCTGGAGACTAAATAACTTTGTGGTGGACTGTGGGATGATAAAGTGGAAAAAGTCACACTTGTAGACAGAGAAGTCCAGACATGACTTTGCTCCCACCAGAGCCTTTAAATTGTTCTGCAATTTACTGTGTAGTCTAAATTACTTTAAACTTATTGGTCATAGAGTATAGGCCTGTATTATACTCACTGGCTCAACCAGGGATAAGGTTTAAAAATTTGCAACAATCTTTTTTTTTTTTTTTTACAGCACATCAGCTATATTCTTTGAATTGAATCTATGCAAAATTGTATGATTATATATAAGGCAAGAGGATATTGAAGTCTGAAGTTTGTAGGCAATATGCATAATTTTGACCCTAACAGTATTGTGCTACAGCAAGGGAGGTAACTTGAGAACTTCGTGTTGTTGTACACTGAGATTCCTGACAATTCACTTGAAAATTACTCAAGTCAGAACAACAAATCAGATTAAAAGTACACCTCAGGTTGTTCCATTATATTAATTAGTCCAATTAGCTCTGGCACATCCTCTCCGTAATCCGTAAACCATTCAAACGTACAGTTATTTTAAAGGTAATAGATTAACCAAAGCTGGTGTAATGGTTTAATCTGACATATTGGTTGCCTTCTGGTTTATCTACAGGACACGGTGTCACAAAACCATTAGAACTCGAATGTGGAGCAAGGGCTTAACATGGATAGATCCTGGAACACAAATACAAATGGTTATTTCTTTATGTATTTATTATGCAAATAACTCCTTAAAATATCTAAAGAATTTATTCTTTCTTTTTTAGATTACCTTGAAATCCCCTTTTCTACAGCTAAATCGCTTGCTTAAACTGCAAAAAAAAATAAAAAAATAACACTTTTATTAATTGGTTCTATGGTGTGCTGCACAATTGTGCAGTTTATAGATCTGTTGCCTTGCTGGTTGGTCAGAATATATAGGAGTAGATTTGGCAGGATAGTAATAAAATGGTGTTCAGACTGAGAAGGGAGGTTTATGATGATTCAAAATCAGATTTATGATCACTTTACTATTCTTACGTGATTAAATGTAAAGTAAAATATTCTAAAAAATAAAATGTTCTCCCAAAATAAACCCGGGTTTTTGTGTCAATTACTAGCTTGTAGTAACTGCATGTCTGAAATACTATTTAGATATATATATGTGTATATATATACATACATATATATATATATATATATATATATATATATATATATATATATATATATAAATGTTTAATAAATTGTCATGCACTCGATTTTTCCTGAAAAACTTTCTCCTACTGTCTTAAAGTCATGACTTTCACTTTCACTTTGACTAGGGTTTATGTTTAATCATTGGAAAGTCCTGCATAGCTAAATAATTACTTGAGCAACTTGAAAACACTACATTGTAATGATGCTAAACATTAAGGCTATTTATGAATTTTAAGTTAATATCCCATTTCTTTACAACTTTAAAGAGTTTTGGATTTCTTAGACTACTAGTGATGCTGCTATACCAAAAACTACTTTAAAATATATACTTTGTTGAATGAAATGTCTTTTATAGGTTACACATTTATTATTCTTGGACCTTCCCAAGGCACATTAAGTATTTTCTACACTTCCATATAAGGTTTTAGTGAAATATCTGTCTAATCTCATATCTGTAAACATCTCCTGTTTTTGGCTGTAGTCTTAAAATCAACCTCAAAAAGATCAGATATAAGCACCGTCATGAAACAATAACCTTTTTAAATCACTGCTTCATCCATTATAGCAAACCAAAGTATTATCCAAAAACTTGGCTTTAAACGGTAAAACCCTCATTAACCGGAATGTGTCTTTCAAATCTTCTTTGCACATCCTCATTGGCTTTAATGGCTGTGACGTTACTTGCTGCATCTAAGTTGGGTCAAAACATCCAACACGTTCAGGTGAAGCTTCTTTCCGGAGGGATTAGAGATGCCTTACCTGCTATGCGTGTCATTAAGTGTACCCGCCTCAGTTAGAATGAGGACCTCCTCTTGGCCTCTAAATCTGGTTTAAGGTCTGACTCCTAAGCAACCCACAGCATCACACATAATCTGAATTTATATTTTTTTAACACTTCAAATTCAAAATTCCAACTTTAAACTTATTGACAGGTTTAATGTTTAAAGAGAATAAATTTCCCAATTGCTGAGCAACATTTGACAGTGTTGTCATTATGTGCTAATGTCATAACAGAATACATAATTTTAACATAATTTAACATAATTTAATCTATAAATGTAGTCTGAATTGAAATCCTGAGTCTTTTAATATCATTAGCAGATTGTTTTACATACAGTTTATAATACGTGTTTTGGATTAGGACTGAGCATCTCTGCCAAGTGGCTGACCACGGGTTTAATATGATTTTAAAGTAATCCCATCAGAGTTTAGTAAAGCGCGGGTATATAAGCTGAAGTCTGAGGTAAAGCACCTGAACGAGCGAAAGGAAGGTACGACAGCTGAGTATCTCCTTCCAAACCCAGGATGGCAGAGCAATGGGGTGCACAGGTGTTTGCTGCGAGGCGGCACAATGAAGATACAACGAGGGGCTCTGCATTCACGTACACAAACAGCAATCATACCAGAGGCATGTTTTTTTATATCAAACGGTTTCGTGTTTAGTCCTGGTGTTTTTATAGAGACTGATGTAGAGTTGATGTGTTTGTAGAGTTTGGCAATCTGAAACCTAGCTGAGTGACATGCAATTTAAGAAATGACATTTAAACAACAGCTTACATGATTACATGTTTCTTATTTCATTTGATTATAACTTTATTTCTATTTGTGCACAAACTATATTAGCCTGAAGCTAAAATTAACATATTTTTAGATGCTAGACATAAAAACACTTTTTGGTCTAGAATCATTTCTAAATTAGAATGGTGCACTACTGCAGATTCTGATGTGTGAATCTTTGCTTCCAGATCCTTTTGAGGGACCAAACTACCATATCGCTCCTCGGTGGGTTTACAACGTTGCTACAGTATGGATGTTTTTTGTGGTCGTTCTATCAGTCTTCACCAACGGCCTCGTTTTGGTGGCCACTGCAAAGTTCAAGAAACTCCGTCATCCCCTTAACTGGATTCTTGTCAACCTTGCTATTGCTGATCTTGGAGAGACGGTCTTTGCCAGCACCATCAGCGTGTGTAATCAGTTTTTTGGATATTTCATTCTGGGACACCCAATGTGTGTCTTTGAAGGCTATATCGTCTCAACTTGTGGTAAGTCTTCAGATTGTTTTTGCATGATGAAGACCTGTAAATTAATTTACATCTAACTAAAAGAATATTCTTGTTTTCACAACTTGAACATTTTACTCTCCAAAGGTATTGCTGCTCTTTGGTCCCTTACTATCATCTCTTGGGAGAGATGGATAGTTGTGTGCAAACCTTTTGGAAACGTCAAGTTTGATGCCAAATGGGCCATAGGTGGAATTGTGTTCTCCTGGGTCTGGTCTGCTGTGTGGTGTGCTCCTCCCATCTTTGGATGGAGCAGGTAGGTTCTCTGGTTATATGGTCTTTATATCTCAAAGAAAATCTCTATAATCATTAAGGGAAGATTTTATTGTTTAAATCCTGAAATATTGTCATCAGGTATTGGCCCCATGGACTGAAGACATCCTGTGGACCTGATGTGTTCAGTGGAAGTGAGGACCCTGGAGTTCAGTCCTACATGATTGTTCTTATGATTACATGCTGCATCATTCCTCTGGCCATCATAATCTTATGCTACCTGGCCGTGTGGTTGGCCATTCGTGCTGTAAGTTTAGCTTTTCTGTAACCTTAGGATAAGCAGACCATTTCTAAAAGTTTGGTACAATGTATCCTGTTGTGTTGTTGGCTACAGGTTGCTATGCAGCAGAAGGAATCTGAGTCAACCCAGAAGGCTGAGAGGGAAGTATCCAGGATGGTCGTTGTGATGATCCTGGCTTACTGTGTCTGCTGGGGACCTTACACCTTTTTCGCCTGCTTTGCTGCAGCCAACCCTGGTTATTCTTTCCATCCTTTGGCTGCTGCAATGCCTGCATACTTTGCCAAGAGTGCCACCATCTACAACCCAGTTATCTATGTCTTCATGAACCGACAGGTTGGAACAACAATCATGTTGTTACATTTCTTTATCAAGCATAACAAATATATTTTGTTTTATTTAACCTTAATTCTATTTTTGCAGTTCCGCACATGCATCATGCAGCTCTTTGGAAAACAGGTGGATGATGGTTCTGAAGTGTCCACATCAAAGACAGAAGTGTCCTCTGTGGCTCCGGCATAAACTCCTATTTCTCTGGTTGGGGGGAAAAAATTCTGTTCTGCACAAATCTTTGTTCTTGCAATGAACAAAGCTTTATAGCAGTTGAAATGTTATCTGTGTTGTAAATATAATTCCTAAACAGATTAAATAGCTGTTACATTTTTTTTAATCTATTTTTACCAAAATAGAATTCTTGCAGAGTAAAAAAGCAACAAAAAAAAAACATTTCTCAGTGCATATGTTACAATATTCAGTTGAATAAAATATCCTGAAGCATGTGTACATTTTTTTCTAATTATTGCCTACCTTAAAAAAAAAAAATCATGAAATAAAATACTTGGTATCAAAGGTTGGTAAGACATACTGCTCGATTATGCTAATAATGGTTAGTCTAACTAGGTATTGTATGGCGCGGGCCCCCTAGGGTCCAGTCAATGTCATAACAGCGTGGCACGAGAACGTTACTGGTATTTAGTTTGTATTTCATTTGAGTTTTTGTAAGGTCTTGTATTCATGTATATTTCTTGCAACCCAGATTTGTTTCTCCACTTTGTAAAAAAAAATCTAAGGGTTTTCATGGTGATACAACAAGGTGAGACGTGAACGCTCTACTGCGGTTCATATATACCTCTGTCAGCTGCTGCCATATGCTGGGGGGAGTGGGAGAAGTCCATGTTGTTGCTACAGGTAGCAGAAAGGGGCCTTCTAAACTAAGAAATGTTCAGGGAGACTTGTGTGTATTGCTCTTTGATGCAGAATAAATACAGAAAATAGGCTTTATGGATGCAGGAAGAGAAAGCCAAGTTTATAATAAACGGTGAGGAAGACTGGGCATTTTTATTTAATGGACTCAATTTTATATCCTGAGAAACTTTTAAACAAATACCTGAATTAATTTCATGATTTAAACATGTTTAACTTCCATGGAGTAATAGATATAAAATTCATGTTTTATTCTTATTTTCTCATTACAATAACATTATTACACATTGTACCCAGGAGTAGCTCCCTTGTGCAGAGGGCCAAGTGTACAAAAAATTACTAGGCATAAGTGGATGAACAGACATGGCAAAAAGTGATAGCAGGCATGGCATGGAATGCATTCTTCACCCAGGATAAAAGCAAACTAATAAGTTTCAAAAGGATGGTACATGGTCAAAAGATTGACTTATCTGACTTATAAGGTGACAGAAGAAGAAATAAAACACATGACCAGACTGTAACAGAGATTTAGTTCTCATGTCATTTTCTCATTTGTTTCATATACTAACCAATAGACTAAACGCTTTAGAAAAACTACAAGGCCTAAAGTAAATTAAAAACCTTTCTAATATCAGAATGGAGAAGTGAACTAAAAAGTAAAAGCAAAAGCAAAATGGTAAAGATGGTGTAAGACCAAAACAGAAAATACCCAAGTAAAGAACTTAACCTAAAAAGCAAAACTCTAAACAGAAGCTCTAAAGGTGAACAAAAAAAACAACAACTTAAAAACCACATGATAACAAGAATAAACTAAAAACTACCACACAAAAGAAAAAAAATCTATAAGTCAATCGTAACAACATACTCATAACCAACGCACAAAAAAGGACAGAACAACTAGCTCACTTTTTTGATAAAACAAAGATACTCATATACTGATAATAGTAAGTAACATTTTGAATTATTATTATTTTTTTTTCTTTTGCTTCTCTATTTCTATGAATACTGTCATGGTATCAAAAATACGCAAATATTTGTGTAAATGTATCACCTATCAGCAGAAGGTACAAAATAGATATATAAATGCTTTAAGCAGTGCAGAACCTTTACAGGATATAAAGATTAGTCAAATGATCTAATCCAAGAGCATATTGTATTTCCATGTAGAAAAAATATCAGAGTTTACTAATGAAAATGCAAAAGAGAGATGTAACGAAATACTGATGAGGCTAAAAGTTGGATTAGGATGTAATCTTGTCAGGTTTTGCTCCAGCAAAACCTGACAAGATCACATCCTTGTCCTTCGAGTGAAATTTGTCTTAATTTTCTCTGAAGGATAAAAAACAGTCTCTTTCAGCAACAGACTGTACTTTTTTACAGCTGCTGCTGGCAGCTGGAACATCTGCTAATGTTATACAATGGATATTGATTGACAGATTAACAATTAATGCGATTTTGAGGTATTATCTTAACAGCCTCAGAGTGCAGAGCTTAAGCTCCTTAGAAAGAAGAAATTGCCCCAGCAAATGGAGAAAATTGCCAACAGCATTTGTTGAACAATAATCCCAACATTGGTTGTCTTTTAGCTTGAATAGAAATATTCCCCTAGGGTGTAAATTAAGCATGATGAATTACTTTATAATACATCAATTGAACTTTTCCTCTTTTCCAAAGATGAGAATTTATGTGATTTGTAAATCTGTTCATTTCTCTAGTTGGGAGTTCTGCATGAAAGACAACTATTGCTCCGTTAGATCACACTCAGAATGAAACCTCAGCTCATTTTTCTGGAGCTGTTCAATTTGCAAGATTCTATTTAATAAACTGACTAACATTTTTTCTCATTGTATTGAGATGGGTTAAATTTCTACAAAGTTGTTTTTTCTCTAAAGAAGGGCTCAAGGTTTAACAACTGCCAGTCCAGAAATTCCCAATGTGAAGGCGCGCCCCCTAGGGGTTACCAGTGTAACTGCAGGAGGAGCATAACATGAATAAATGAGCGAGATATTTACAAAATGGTATAAATGACTATGTTGAATTGTAATGAACAATGAAATAATGACTCTTTAAATTCGTCTATTTTGTTATTTTAATATGATTATAGTTTATTTGATTACAATTTGTAATATACTGCAGTTGACTTTTTTTTTTAAATGTAGTTGAGGGGTGTGAGAAAACATATCTTTTTTCCTTTTTTTTTTAGACAAAGTGCAATAATGTAGGTTTTATATCATTAAAAGGATACTTTTATAATATGCCAAATAAAATAAATCAAAAATCAAAACACTGAAAAATGTAAATCCATATACAAATAAGCTAACAATACATTTAAAACTTTAAAACCATGGATTTAGGTCTCTAGTTTTATCTTAGGTAAAACAAAACTGTGCGCCCTAATGGTGCCTTTACTTTTTATGTGTATTAAATCCTAAAGGTGGCAATACAAGCGGCTTTTTATGGTCTCAGTATTCTGCCAAAAGTCCACACATGCAATATATACGCCTATGAGCAGGCTTAATTCATACAAATGCTCATAAACTACTCCTCCTGCGAATGGTTAACATGTTAAATGCACAAATAGAGCACCACAGGACACCAATATATTCTACACATGAGGGCTTGTTCTTGAGGGCTCTTCTCTGCTCTCCCTGCTCTCCTCGCCTGGACCTGTTTCTGTGAGCTCCTATCAACGTTTGCCCTTTTGAAGACGTTACCCACCGGACAAAGCAACCCGTCTGAGATTGGCCACTGTTCACTATACACAATCGTATTGCCACACTGAGGAAAACAGAAATGTATTTTTACTATGTATTCTAAGTAATAGATGTTGACATTAATATTTTTCTCAGTGGCATTCGTGGATACAATTTGGTTGCCCTATCAAGTGTGTGAATTTGTGCACAAATGGGTAAATGACTGAGGAGTCCCTCGACTTGGAAATGTGCTATGGCCTGAGTCCTTCAACTTCTAACACCGATTGAAAGTGAGAAACGTAGATGCACAGTAAAAAAGAAGAGCATCACTCTGTCCAATTTATATGGAGCTGTTTGTTTTAACGTTACCCTCCTGTTTCCCCAACTGTTTCCCCAAGTATCTAAGGCTGTAAATATGACAGATAAGGTCACGGATGTATGTGATGGATTGTGAGGTGAAACGGTATCGCTCATACAATAACTTTTTGAATAAGAAAGGAGATCTGTATGTGGTCTTTGAACCTCCTCCTGATGAATATTTGATTTTCTGTGAATTAATGCCGGTCCTTCGTTGATCCTTATCCAAAGGATATATCATGTTTGTGTTTTTAACACCTTATGTTTAATCCGGAGCTAGTGACTGATTTATTTAGTGTTCGTACAGAACAATGACAGAACCCTCCTGACTGTGTCAGAAAATCAAACATTGGATTTAAGAAGGGTGGAGGCAAAGGACACTCTGAGTTTATTAAAGAAACCCTCCCTCAGACCAGGTTAGGGAGTGCTACGGTAACAGACACAGGGTGAGTAACCTCTCTACGTGAATTTGAAAACTCTATTTGCCCAGATTTCATTGAATTAATAAAAACTTAGTTTTTATTAATCCTGCTTTGTGAAACGCACCCCAGTACTGTAAATGAAGACAAAAAGCAAATAATTGAACCCAATGCCAAACAAGAACCAAATGAGGACCCAAATGAAGGTGCAAGCTATGGGCAAGAATGAGGCAACACTGCTGAATGGGATCTACTATTAAATGGTGACTCTGGTTTTTAGGTAGAGAAGTGGTTATCATATCATCCCGTCAATAAGCTTAAGCGATTCTCAAGTCAGATTGTCAAAACAGCTCCTCCTTTGTGACCTCATAGAACTTCCTGATGAGTGAATTTAAGAAACGTTTTTCCCTTTTTACTAAATCACTGTGTACCAACAGTTGCTTTGCACATTTAATGTACTTCAAACCAAATTCATAGTTTTATCTAATGAGCCTTACAAAGGTAACTCCAATGATTGGAATTACAGTAAAGGTGATAACACTCATGATCCTGTTGTTGTTTTAATTATCACAAATTCCAGTTTGGCTGCTGCTAATCTTCATTATGAGAGAGTAACTTAATGATTTTATAAGGGAAACTAAATTAACATTTTGACAAGTTATGTTAAGTAAGTAGGTGTAAGCGTAAGTGTTTGTGCATGACACACTTCACTCTGAAGAAAAATAAAGTTTTAAGATTTCAAAATCATGTTTGATCAATACATCCCATTGCCAGCTCGTATTACTATTTATTACTCCAAGTATAAATCTTTAGTTTCAACCTGCTTACATTTTGCATAAATGTGATTAAG